TGTGAGTACCCTATATCCTCACCTCTAACCATGCCCACATCGTGTGAGTACCCAGCATGCTCACCTCCAACCATGCCCACATCGTGTGAGTACCCTATATCCTCACCTCTAACCATGCCCACATCGTGTGAGTACCCTATATCCTCACCTCTAACCATGCCCACATCGTGTGAGTACCCAGCATGCTCACCTCTAACCATGCCCACATCGTGTGAGTACCCAGCATGCTCACCTCTAACTAGCACCTCCAGCTGAGTTTTGCCCATTACTACTCACACATTTCAACTCTTGTTAAAGCAAAAAAATATATACTATTTTGTACTTTTGGTGGATTTTCCAAATATGTAAACAGGCAAACGTTATTGGGTATTGTTTACCTGTAGTCCTTTACAGAGGTTTAGAATTATTTCTGAAGACCTTGTTTGCATTACTGTTTTTAAGCAGTTTTAGGGTTCATGGTGGTTCTTTGGGTTTGGCCTCTGTGCATCATAATGGGCAGGTCATCAGTTCACATCCCTAGGTTAGCAGAACTGGTGAATCACTGTTGGTTTTAGCCCTTAACCCTGAGGTCCTGGGGCACCAGATAAATGGCTTTATCAGGTGTAAAAGAGCAGACCTTTCCTGTTGCAGCCAGATTCAGGTTAAATCTACTGTAATACCATAGTTCATCTCCTATGTGCTTAACAGAATCTGGAAAACGGAGAATCGCAGGCTAATGTGTATGCATGCATGTTGCATGTATATATGTCCCATTTTCTGTTTCATTTTTTGTTTATGTCGTGTGCCAGACTCATTCAATGAGCTGTATGTATCCTATCGAAGCCCGTATTTGTACACGGAGCATCTACTCCAAAATGCTCTCCTACCATCTGATGGCCATTTGTCAGTTCTTGGCCCTGCACCAGCACGCTGTTTGCTGAGCGCCCGAATCTGCAGCCGGGGGGCAGTGGAGAGCGCACTCCGCTGTAATGCTAATTACGGGAGCCAGCCTGTGCTCAGAGCGACCACATGGCTTATTGTCATCTTCTGACATTAAATATTGATCATTAAAGGCAGCCTTATTGTGTACAGCTCTTCAGATTGTTATAATACACAAGTGTTCTTTCAGAATTACTATATCTTTTTCTGTTCTTTCTATGCTGCAATATAGTGATACTTGGTAAGTATTATTTATTGAATAATTTCTTAATTAATATGACAGTTCTTGTATCCTGAAAATCTGAAAGTTGTTTATACTGCCCAGGTTATAAGCCTGTATAGTATAATAATATAATGATATTTTATGGATAATAATAGTTTACATGAAGATTAACATTGCCAACATTTCTTAAATTTGCAGTTTTGAGTTATATGGTCATTGTTTTAACCCTCTAACATGGTTAAAACATTAATAGATATATTCTGGCAAATAAATATATGTATTTTTAATGATGGGGGAAGATTTGAGAGTGTGACTGTGCCCTTCCTGCAGGCCTCCTCGACCAGTAAACAGCATGAACGACTCCATGTTTTCCCACTCTGTCCCCACCTCAGGAAGCCCTTTCACAAGCAAAAGGTGAGTATCTGTGTGCTTCCACTGGGAGATACTGAATTTGTTTGAATGGGTGAGAATGCAGGCAATCAGAATAGCTGATTATATTATATTATATCCCGTCTGTCAGGCAGTCAGCAGGACCTACTGGTAGGTAGTCTGTCAGTCAGTCAGGCTTGTCTGTCAGGCAGTCTGTAGAGGTAGGTGGTCTGTCAGGCAGTATACTTCAGCCCAATAGCCTGTTAGCCTAGTTTGTCAGTCAGTACCAGTAGGTGGCCTGTCAGTCAGGCCATCTATCAGGCAGTTAGTAGGGGTATGTGGTCTGTGAGGCAGACAGTATTAGAAGGCAGTCTGTAAGGCAGTCATTACTGGTAGGCGGTCTAAGTCAGGCTGATCTGTCAGGCAGTCCGTAGGTGTAGGTTGTCTATCAGACGGACAGCACTGGCTGGCAGTCTGTCAGGCAATCAGTACTGGTAGGTGATCTGTCAGTCAGGCTGGGTTGTCAGGCAGTCTGTAGAGGTAGGTGATCTGTCAGTCAGGCTGGGTTGTCAGGCAGTCTGTAGAGGTAGGTGATCTGTCAGTCAGGCTGGGTTGTCAGGCAGTCTGTAGAGGTAGGTGATCTGTCAGTCAGGCTGGGTTGTCAGGCAGTCTGTAGAGGTAGGTGATCTGTCAGGTAGCAATTATATTTCAACCCAATTGCCTCCTTTGTCCACATTCAGTATGATCTTAACTAGCCTGCCTGTCAGTATAAGTTCTTTATGATGTGCAGTCATATAGGATCAAACTAAACCTGCTAAGTTAATAGGCCGTCTGTCATATCATTAAGGCAGCTTTTCTGTGTTTTAACAAATGGTGCACTTAGTAGTGAAACAGACCACTGTTTGTGGAGGGGTAGCATTTAAGAGACGTTCAGCATTAACTTGTAACTGTTGAGTTTATTTTGACTTTCAAGAAGCATTCTCTGAAGTTCATTTAAAACATAAATCGCAGTCTTTTTTATTGTACTGAAAAGCCTATGAGGAACGAAGAAAAATGAATACATTAAATGTTCGTGCAAGAAAGAGGGAAAATACTTGTTTCAGTTGGCAGGAGGCTTAAACTAGGCTGTAAAATTTCGCCTTTCATGAAGAGTGTCCCAAGGCGTTATATGAACTAAAGTTCTTAGAATAAATGTTGATAATCACACTGGATTTAGATAAATGTTTCACCTAAAGCTATGATACAAATGAGCTTTAACTCAGCTTACAGATAGAAATAAGTATGATTCTTCCTGTTAATAATCTTCTCCGAAACCACAGATGAAAGGTTATTGTAGCATTAGACAGTATACCTCATTTTTATTTGAAGTAGCAATTGACCATGAAATGTTAATGTGTTACATTTTACTCTGAGTGTTTATATAGAAGAAATACACATTAACAGAGCTGGAGACACGATGGAGAATTTATCTGTGAGTGAGGTTATAATTGTATGGGTAGTGAGACTTGAACTGAAATAAACTGACTTGATTTTACTTATGGTTTGGGGCTTGCAGCTTAAGACAAAAATTTTGCTGTAGAAGCTAGTAGATAGGGCCCCAAATCTAGGTAGAATAAGAAATACTGTTTAATGTAACTCCTAGTTATCATCCTTGGAAAAACTTGAAAAATATGGTCTGTAAGAGATCCTGCTAATGGTTTTAAAGACAGAAGTATACAGGGTTAGGGCTTACAGCCAGGATTGTGGCCCAGGACGCTTAAAATAAGTAATGTTTTCAATACTTATGCAAAGAACAAATTTAATTTCACACTAAGCTGAAGCAATTTTGAGAGAAGGAAATTATCTTAATTTTGAAGCCTTAGCTATTTGAGTGAATTAAATGAGTCTTTCTTTGTTTTACAGAAGTAAACATTAAAGCGGGAATCTGAATTGCAAAGAGAAAGTATTGCGTATCGTTTTTTTAAAGTTTAATACATAGTGGTACGGTGTGTATGAAGTTTAGATGTGGAATATTATTCAAGGTGTGCTTTGAGGAAGAGGAAAAGGTAGCTACTGTAATACCTGGAGTCTTTCCACACATGAACACGGCCTGTTCAGTCCTGCTGCCATCATGCATGTTTCATAATGTGCAGCTTGTCGAACATAAATACTCGGGTAAGTAGCCTGCTTGGATGAGGCGGGATTGGGTTGGAACAATGGCTGTGGAGATTGCAGTTCCTGTGTCTGTCGCTCAGGTTGTCCCGTTGGCTCATGGTTCGGGTCTAATGCTCGGTGTACGGCAGCTATACTTCACGCCCCCGCCTCTGCACCCGCTTGTTCTGATGGTACCTTACTGCTTGGCCTGTCCAGGTGTTTGGGCGGAAGCCCACCTACCCCTCTCCCAGGAGGTGACCGGGGACAGGCTGATGAGCATGCTCTAATTAAGCTGTATGTAAGTCAGCTGATCGAAGACCGACGGTCAGTATGTCGCTAGACAGCGCCCCCTAGTGATTACTGCCTCGCCCCAATAGCCTCTCCCAGCTTCATAGCAGACGACCCGCTCCGCAGTAGCCATGTAGCATCCACCTGCCTTTTCTAACTGTACACTAACAAATTCAGAAAGATGTCTCATTTTATCGCTTAACGTTTTATTCCTACTCTGGTTTCCATCCTTGTCTTCTTCCATGGGAATCATAAGTTTAGCTGCCTACCCAGAATGCATAAGTGCAGCGATGTTTTAAACTCTTAGGGACCGCTTTTGAAGTCCCTGGTTGATTAAGCTTAAGAGACTTCACAAAAGTGATTTCCATAAGTTTTACATCATAGAGGGTGTGTACATTTTTTAAGAGAATTCTAAAAAAAAAAAATAGATCATTATTCCCATGGTTAAGAACATTTTGGACACCTGGCCTTTCAAATAATCTTAAATTTATTGTGTAAAATTGCTACTAGAATAGTATGGATTTCATAGTTCATTGCTTGTTTTGTTCATTTTTTTTTTTTTAACTATTATACCGGACGCCAAATGATGTTCGCTGAATGGTGAGATTTTCTCCACTGCCTTCTTTGATTAGTTTTTCTTATATTCTTTTGTACATTTTCAGTGTTGGAGCAATGAACAGATAGAAAGTATCATTTTAAATATCTTCCCTTTGCGATCCTGAACTGGATAAGCAATTAATGGAAGACTGATGGATTTATGGTTGCCTTTTTCGGATTGAACTTTATTCAATTCAATGTCTGATTCTATGATGGCTTTTTAACAAACATACCATTTCGTCTTGCTGGTAAAGAGAGTAGAGGCCTATTTAAAGGTGTATTTAAAATTTATTTATGTTCAGAAACTTAATATTGTTAGTTATGACTGCACTTTGTTGTCATTTGTTTAGTTTGTCAGTATTATCAAAAGCAATATTTATATTGTGTGAAAATGTGTTTATATTTCAGTGTTTTATGCTGTTTACATATTTACGCTTTTAACTAGAAATTTGTTTATCATTGTTAACCAGTTGACAATCAAACAATCATGAAATCAGATATGTTAAACATTTAAGCTTATGTTTTGAGTTATTACGACAATGGTCATTTCTTATGAATATAAATTACAATGCATTTTAATTATAATATAATAATTTGTTTTAAAATCACTAGGTTTACATGAATCAATTTACCTAGAATATTATTCATAGACCCAAACTTCAGATCTTTTCAACTGTGTAATTCTGTTCTCAAAGTTAAATGGTAACACTTCACTTGATGAGGCTCAAATACTTAGTGATAAATCAGTTACTACTGAAGTACGAATTATGAGCGAATTTAGTAGCTACTTGAGATAAAAGATGCGTTATGATTCATTAATGATGAACAAACATGAGATTATTATTTCACTTGTGTTATTCATTACTTGTTCTTTCAGTAGTTCCTTCAGTGGCTCGCAAAGGTTTATCGAATGAACACATATAGTGACAGATATAGTAATTGCTTGATAAAACATGCACAATGATTCATTAATGAATTAACATGAGATCAGTATGTAACTACAACTTGGTTTATACATAAGTAATAGTATAATAGCATATTATTTGTGCTCCATCACGTGAAGTGTTACCAGTTAGATAAGTAACAGAGAAGAAAAAATAAAGTGAGTTAAGATGCACAGGTAATAGTTGTTTGCTTCGTCGGCACAAGAATGGAGAATCGGCTTAGGATCGGATGTTTGCATCTATGTCATTAGGTTGGATTATCGATAAACGCCAGTTCTTTGGGGTTGACATCTATTTTTACATTATTAGCATATGTCAATGGGGTTCGAACCAAATATTCAAATTTGTTTTAGTGTAAATTTGCAGAATGCAGATATATTATGAAAGAAATAATCAAAGAGCACATTCAGAGCATCAGTATTACAGTACTATGGTTTAAAAGGTCAATAGAACACTGTATGCTTCTTTAGCTATGATGCCCAAACGGAAGTGGTCCTTTCTGCGCGTTCAATGTTCCCAGACCAGCTGCCACGACGGCTAAGCTAGTGATACAGCCTAGAGCAGCCACACATCTCACAGAATTCAAACTCAACCTAGGTTTTTCCTAAAAGGCCCATCAGGAAATATGATGCTAAACTAACCCTTTGTCCAGCTACCTTCCAGGTAAATCCGATTTAAAGATGTGTACCTAAATCCCAAGGTCTAAGGAATATGTACTATATTCACGTACAGCCCAGATAACCCAGAACAGCCTGAGTCCAGTCCAGGTGGAACCAATCTAGGGCGCAGGTACCTTCCTTCATTACTAGAACTACACCTGTGGTCATGTGTTCCGATCATGTGACTCGGCCTCAGTCTGGTCGGTGCTCCAATAATACTGTGTGTGTTTGTTTTTGCCCTCCCTGCTGTGTCGCTGTTGGTATAAAAAGCGAGCCTAGCAAGACGGTCGAAGTTGGGCAGAACCCAGATTTGACTAGAGCCGCTCCGACTCTGTTGAAAGGGAAGGGGTAAGTGTGACGCTAGTAGGTCCCCATCGAGTCCACCTCTGATTTGTGGCGATGCCGTCTGCACGTTTGGCCAGTGCCAGGCTGGCCACCGGCTGTGGGCTCAGGGTTTTGGTTCCTGTTTGGCTTCAGTAACGATCTGGCTTCGCTTGTCACATGCCCGTTTGAACATATTTTAAGATTTACTAAATTTAGTCAGTTGTACATTGTTACTCGGGATCTTTGCTGAATCTCGACAGATTGACCCGGTACTATCTGCATGTGCTGTTAACATTTATGTCATGGCACTTAGACAGAGTTGTTGTTTTTTATTTTGAAAATGTATGCCGATCAAAAAGCACAAAACCGGAATGCTTTATCCCTTTAAGAAGTTTTCAGTTTTGTGAATTGCCCCATACAATTATTTATGTCAGTCTACAGGTATGTGAAATTGGGGCTTTGTTCTTAATTAATGTGTATTTTAAATTAAAATAAAAAACTGCACTGCACCCCTTCGTGACAGTTATCGTAATTCTGCTCAAACACTTAACCAAGCAGTACATCCTGTTTAAATATAATATTCTTGGTAAAATACCATATGTGTGTTATTTTATGTTTCACCTGGGGGTAGGATTTAGAACAATTCCAAGGGCCCCCTAAACATTTAGTAACGTGATTGGATTGGTCTGGGTTGCAGCACCAGTATGATTTGCTTCCACGGGACCCAGAATCTCTAGCCGTGTCCCAAGGACTGTCTTTGTTATGTAATAATACATTGCAAAGTTGTCTCTGAAAGTTTGAAAATGCACCCATGTATTTTGAGAAAATGGATCTTATATTGTTAAGTAGCCCATTTTGAAAGTCTTAACTCAATATCTGAAAGAATGTAATGGCTCTTGAGTAGTATTTGTTTGTATGGTTAAATATGTGTAGGTTGGCCGGAAGGTAATCCTGAGACACACATTCACCCCAGTGATCTTTTGCTAATCGGTGCTTACGTGGAGTTTAAAGTATGAAGAGTCCGTATTGCATGGTTACTCTCCTGCAGTTTTAGTGCTGGCTGTTCATTGCATTTCAGCAGAGGTGGCAATTTCAGGTCCAGAAAGTAAAAATCCAGACCATGATTTACTTTCAACCAACCAGTTGAGCATAAAGAGTCACAGTCACATAGTACTCAACTGGTTGGTTGAAAGTAAATCATGGTCTGCATTTTTGCTTTCTGGACCTGGAATTGCCACCTCTGCATTTCAGTGGCTTTCATGTTCCTTTCACTCCCGCTGACTTTTGTCTCCCTGAAACTTCACACCGTTGCAGGTTGTACTACAGTGTGGACGTTGCGGACAGACTCGCTGATGAACATGTTCTCATCGGCCTCTGTGTCAATCTGCTGCAGACCTACCCTGGGCGGTCAGTGTGCCTCTCCCGGCGGGAACGGCACCCAAAGCGGGGGTCGTCCGCATAAGAACCCCCCCCCCCCCCCCCCGACCCCTCGCTGCACAGGAGTTCTGTCTAGGCCTGGCAGACCTGCATTTTGTGCACTTGTGCTCTGTTAGTCTAATGGCCAAAATGTGTACATGTAGTGGGAACGCAAGAACAGTCTGCTCAGAGAAATTGTCCTTCCTGTGTGCCGTGTTTGCCTGTCGTGTGTCATTCCCGTCTGTGACTCTTCGTGTACTTCTTGTGTCCCCCTGAGTCTTCTTGGGTGGTTTCTCTGAGCCTTCCATCCTTCTGTAGCTCGGATGCACTTCAGATATCCAGATGTTTGCCCAAGCATTCAGGAATCTTGAAGGGCGAGGTCGTGCGTGTAAAAAGTAGCGATTGATGTGCTAGGTGACGTGGCCGGTGTGCTGTGAGAGTCCACTGTGGACTGGAAGTGGTCGTGTCTGTACTGGGTTTGGATTTGTACCGCATGGACTGGCTATTTCCTGTGCTTTCTTTAGTGATAGTTGCCTGTTGTCTTTACAAACATGACGTCAAGGATCATTTTCAAGGTCTTTCAGACTCACAAGATTGAACTGCATGTAACTTTGTTAGGCTTTAATTACAAATGATTCCTTTCATGTTTGTGTGGATTCAGCTTGCTTTGGGTGTGTGGAACAGTATATTTCTGATTTGTTGTTATATGGTAAAAATACATGCTCTGGAGCAATAGCCATCTCAGAAAATATGGGTATAAATGTATATTTTATAGCATAATCATGTCATTTTCATGTTGCAGTAGTCATTCTTTGTCAGCAAGGTGTTTTACAGATTAATTATTCTGCACAATATTTTCCAAATGTGATTACGTAAGATTATATAAGCAGTGTAATGACTTGGGAACATTTCAGTACTAAATCTCTGTGCTGCCTGACAGTGACCTCCAACGCCCCCTTCAGGTTACTGTGAGTTCAGCAGGCACCGAGTGACCTTCTTCCTTCCGCTTCCCGCAGCGTGCTGGAGTGTAGCGGTCGGCTGGACGAGGAGCACCGGCTCATCGCTCGCTACGCCGCCCGGCTGGCTGCCGATACCACGGCCGCGGTACGGCGACCCGTCTTGGCACCCAACCGCGCATAAACACACATGCAGCAGTCTTGTAGTTTTTGGGCCAACTTACACATAAAAATTAAAGTAATCAGCTAATCGTACGCAGTGATGTAGGAATCGGCTAAGTGTTGTGTGAGCCAACGGGAATAGAGGTTCGGAAATTTGGCCAGATCCTGGGTAGGTCAGTCAGTGGGGTTCAGTCAGCCATCTGGGCTGGTTCAAAGGGTTTGCGTCACATGAATTGGTTGGATTGTAATGTCATATATTATTTTTTTGTTTTGGTGCTTTCTTTTGATCTCTGCATAGGTAGACTACCTTAAAGGCACTTTTGTACTTGTGGTCTACTGTAGACCAGTTGTAGGTCTACGTGGTTTTTAGAGATCTGACTTGCTTTAGTTTTTAAGTGACATTTATTGACTGCAGGAAATGTTTTGGATGGATAATAAACATGCTGTCAAAGGATATATTCAGAAGTGCAGCCATATTGGTGAACCTTCATAAATATGTCGCTGTCTACAGTAATCCAGGTTACAGAGCTTCCTCTGCCTTAGTTGAAAGATGATGTTTTTTAATTTTTTACACTGAGTTTGCTAAAAATACTGTAGATAGAGGATCATTAGGCTCATGTGACAGTGTACGGATTTGTGTCATCAGCACAGGAATGAAAATGATCATCCTGTAATGCCTCCTGCCAGAATAATATTTAGTTCTGTGTTCTGTGCCAGTCTACATTTAACCAACATCGATTTAACCAATGGAGATTAATGTATGTTCAGATTATTTTTCCACCTGCCTTCCAAACGGTTATCCTGGTCACGATTGGGGAGTGGGGGAGTGGGGGGGGGGGGCTGGAGCCTATCCCAGGCAGCACAAGGCATAAGGTGGGGGTTCACTGCCAACCCATTGCAGGACAAACACTCACGCACAATCATACACTAAGGACAAATTGAGGTTTGTTGTATGATAGCATGTATTGAGGTTTGATGCGTTATTATAGCAGCCTTTGCAAGATAGGACTTGAGAAGGATCGGAGAGAATCAGCAAAGCATATTATCATAACGACGGTTTAGATTTAACAGCAGTAGGAATCTGAGTTGCAAAAGGCACATTCAGAATCCATATCGCAGTCAAAGGAGAGACAGAAATGTAGTGGCCCAACATGCCAAAATGCAAGCTGTACATACAGAAGATGCTGCATACATACGGCATGAGGTTCATTTATAAGGTTCATGATATATGGATTTACTGGAAATTCTAAACATACATATTGAAAGTGATTAATGGGCATAATGAAGATGCTAAATATAGTCGCTGACAATGAATAATGTTCATTAAGATGTTAAATAAAAGTACCAAAAATGTGAGATACATGCTGCAGATTGTACAAGTAAACAAGTAACAGGCAACAGGCATGCAACCTAAGGATGTGTCATGATTGTCCAATAAGCTGTGGACAGGAAGTTGAAATGTATCATCTGTGATACTGAACGCAGCCTTATTGTGAGAGAGCATAAACATTGTAGCAATTTACTCAAAATAAAACCCTTATTGAAATAACAGACATGCTATAGGTGTTATAAAAATTATATATTAAAATACATGTTTCGATATCAAGATTTTTAAAGGATTTTAAAAATCCTTTAATGTAACTGGTTTAAATATGATTTTTTTGTGTAATTTATATATTTAAGCAGTTCAATGTGAATGTGATCTAATGGAAAGAAATTAGGTTTCTACAGCATGAAAAAGTATCACATAGAGTACAGAGCAGCTAATTGAATGTTAAAGCTGGACATGTTTATATGTTAAAACAAACATTCAATAATAATTTAAGAAACACAGTCCATATTAAACATCAACTTGGCAAATGCTAAGGTGCAGTTTTAGCCAGTGTCAGCATGCAGCTTTATAATACAAATCGTTACTGATGCTAGAAGCTGATTGGGCCTTAATTACACTATCTTTTCATTGATTGATTTTATCTGTGCTTGAGTAGGACTGGTGCTTTCCCAAGCTGTACCCGAGCCATATTATGGCACCAATTCAATTCAGTTGTGAAGTCCAGCTTATTGCAAAAAGTCATCTTGTAGTTTATGGAAATAAACACCCTGTATATGGTGATGGACTCATTATGGAGTCGCTGTGTCACAGACAGCTCTCACCGCATTAGGGAGTCGCTGTGTCACAGACAGCTCTCACCGCATTAGGGAGTCG